TCTAGGACCAAATTATGCCAGCTAAATATTGTGTTATGGGTATTAGATAACTGATACAAACACATAGATACATAGATATATTTTTATTCTTAAATATCATACATACACATTATACATAGAAAACACCCAGACTTATGAATACAAATGTTTGTCGTGCAAGGAATCGAACCCGCGACCATCAGAAGCAAAGCAGTATGCTAAAGCGCTAGACCATCGAGATCGTTAATATAAACGGTAAATATTCCATTTATAAAAGCTGAATATATTTTTTATCTGTGGTAACGATTTTTCTTGTCCATACTATTTGATATCACAATTACTACCATATACACCATTAGTTTATCTATCTTTGAACATATATAAATAAGCATTATGATCAGTTTTATTTATTTTTAATTAAAATATTCTCATGTTGATAACAAAATAATATCAGTGATTGGTTTTTACAACATATTACATATATTTGATGATAAAGATTTCCCCGACCCGTAAAATCCCAGCGGGGACATAGTACGAATGTACTGCACACATCTGCTGCGTAGAATAACCTCACTGTACTTTTAGATCGCACCATCTCAAAGACGTGCCTCTCCCGCCCTGGGACCAATAAGTTAAACGCTCTCTAAAACTGTAATGACGTCACGGAAGGGTTGACTCATAACTTGAAATAACTTAAGATACCGAGATGAATAAGTGAGTAGCCATTTAGTAACTGGTTTACAAGTTAACCCTCGAATAGACTGCTTCAAAACAATTGCGTAAAATATAGTTACAATTCCACTTTAAAATTGAAAGGCCCACTGAGTTTCAATAAATTTTAAAACAAAGTTACGATATTTACAAAGAAATTTAAACGTAATGTTAGTTTATATATCTTGCTAATATTATAAACGCGAAAGTTTGTAAGTATGGATGGATGTTTGACTCTTTCACGCAATAACTACTTACTAATAGATTTTGATGAATGTTTACAGTAATATATGTATTATATACATCAGAACATAGGTTGTAATTTAGAAAGATATTATGTAAATTGGGCGGAATATAATGATAAATATCTATTATGATAAATATCTAATGATAATATATATAAGTAATGAAATGAAATGAAAATTCTTTATTGTTCTCTCTTACTATACAAACAAACATTTATATACATTATTAATATATAAATATGTATAAACATACAACATTCTCAAAGGGAAGAGGCAACAATGGGTGCAAGTAAGTGTGATGCAGAGGTAGTTGCTAGGATCAGTTAGTAAAAAATATTTTTTGAAGGTAGACTTAACATAATATGATCTACATGGGACGTCAGTACTATCTATTTCTACCATTTGCTTTAGGCTTGCTTTGTAAGCTGTACTATCCTTTGAACGGTAAGACAAAGCAATTACGACTACTTCGGTAGTGTAACGGTTTAGCAAACCGCTTTACTATCAATGGTCGCGGCTTCGATTCCTCAAACGGTATAATCATTTGTATTTATGAGTATGATTGTATGTATGGGTGTTTTCTGAGTATATCTTTATATCAGTTATCTAGTACCCCAAACTCTGCTTAGTTTGGGGATAGATGGCGCTGCGTGAGTTGTCCTAAATTATTATTATTATTAATGAAAGTACACCAAAACTAATAATTTCTCAGAAATACATGACGAGTACACGATAGCAGGCAGCTCATGACATAAGGATGGTTGACACTTCGTCAAGTGAGGCATGATTTATTATAAAAAAATCCATTCTTAGGGGATCCATTCTTAGGGGATATGTTATAGTAGTTTTATGCATGCAAAGTCTCAGCCCGATCGGTTTAAAATTGACAAAGTTTCATACAAACTTTCATCCCCTATTTTATCCCTTTGGGGGTAGAATTAATCAAAATCCCTTTTTATTGGATGCCTACGTCATAACATTTACCTGCATGCCAAATTTCAGCCCGATCCATCCAGTGGTTTGGGCTGTGCGTTGATAGATCACTATGTTAGTCACCTTTGAGTTATATATATTTAGATAATTGTAGAACGGTACAATGCATTACATTGACACGAGATTAAAAAAAAATCAAAGACCATAGGCTACTTTCTATCTTGTCAATCAAATTCTATTGCTTCCACGGACGAATCCGCATGTGTAAACTAGTAAGTGTATAACTTATATTCATTATTATGTCGTGCATTGCGAACAAAACAGCACGGTGACAGTTGAGCTTCATTCAAACATTGAATACGATTTCGTGTAAGTAGGTCGTCTGCTTTTGTTTAGTTTGCGAACTCCAAAATTTGGCTTTGAAATCTAAATTTGTTTTGCTTATTCATTCGGTGAATAATTTTTACCACACAATGAAGCATTTAATTTATTACATTAGTTTGTCTTTAGTGAATATAAGAATGCATTTGGATGTTTTTGTTTTCATTATTTATATTACTTTCAACTACATAACATATATCACACTTTGAATAATGTGAAGCGAATATTTTATTTACTTTAAATATGGGTCTCTTTAGCTATATTATTTTATTATAAATCTGAATTCTAAAGGTACATTAAACGGGACGAAAATACTAAATAAAAATATCTGAGTTAATAAACACGAAACAGCAATAAAATAACAAGCAACGACTCTAGAACCATTTACATACACATATTTTTTCGATATCTCATAAAAACCGGTCAATAAAACAATCACAATGTAATATTCTGGAAAATTCCATTCACACCCGCCCTACGCCGTAGCACCGTAGCACGGTGCTACAAAATCGAAACCCTAATTTAAATCCTTTCAAATATTCAAAACGCATATTATCGAATCGTAAATTTTTAAATTCCGAATCGCCGCACGGAAACGGTCATGACCTTTTCTTTTGCGCCTTTTTTATAAACAGCCGTTAAGGCCTCGAGCGAAAATCATCCGAACTGATGCTGGCAGGCCGACGGGTACAGGCAGGACGATAGGCGGGGGAGGGAGCATCCCCTTCGCTATTTTCGGCGCTTGAGTTATAGTCCGACCAAGCATTGAAGACCTTTTACCGAATTTCGCGTTTCGTTTTACGAGTGGCTCCTGAGCGCGTCGGTCGGGTAAATAATTCAGGCAGAAAGTTTTTTTCGCTCGTAACGCTTGATGTGGGTTTAAGCTAAGCTTATTAATAATTTGTAGTTCTGTAATGGCTTTTATCTCAATAAGAATTGAAACTATATTCTTTAAATCAAAATGAATTAAAAAACAGATACTAATACATTCTTTATGTAATTCAAAATTAGTAAAACAGTAAATCGTTTATGTAGATAAAAACTGAACAGATGCTGAATGTAGATTGAATTTAAGTGTCTGAATGCTACATTTATTCTGTCTTTCTCTCTGGATGTCTGTTAAACATTTTGTACAACATTTCCAAAGGATATTCTGAGGCTAAACGAGACGTGTTCTTCACTGAATCACTCGGGACTTACGTGCCTCGCATAATCTTGTCAAATGACAAAGTGACTACACAACAGTCATTTAGGTCTAATAAACAAAGTAATTTAAAAGCTATGTACAAGTACATGAAAGTCGCATACAACTTATTGTTTAAACAATACAGACAGAGCAAAACAGTTTGATGTAAACATTGTTTATTTTTAATGTTCCGTTTATACTTTAATAATAAAGTCATATCATATATTTTAACAGACATTAAATTGTAATCATGTTAAAAATAGAATATATTTGTATATAACGTTAAAATTTTGTTTATAATTATACGTAGATTTATAAACTATTAATCAAATATGTTCTTAACTAATTTAAATGTACTTGTGATGAATAATTAATCTAATTAAAATGCGAAATGAACGTCCTTTATTCCTACTTTTAACATAGAGCTGCGTATCATTGACGTCAGTTTCGGGACGTAGTTACCGAAAATCTTGTATTCCATACGAGACAAATAGCAAATAATCAAGCTATTCACACAAAGCGAATTTACTTGCGTATCTAAATATCTATAGAGCGAGCGAGAAGGGAGGTATCAAGACTCGAAACTCCCCCATAGCGGCGCTCAGAGGGGATCCGTTGAGAATTTTAGGTTAGTGGACATGTAGGCATATAGACGGTAACACGGCAAATTTGTTGCCCTTTAGTTCGTGTCGTGTTGTGATTTTCGTTTGTGCGTCAAGTGATAGTTTGTCGTTGTCTCGTAAATTAAAAACTAAATATATATTAAGTGTAGTTTAAGTTGTAATTAAGCGTTTTAATGTTAGTTTTAATTAGTGGTGACACAATTTGTAATACATTACAGTGACATATCGCGTGGATTATGTGGCTTTTTTAAAATTGGAATAAAAGAAATAAAAGAGAATAAACATTGTTACGTGTCAATCGCGGTTTGTTTGTAAACAGTGACGCGTGCGTACCGTTCAAACTTGCTGACGGGTCAGAGTTTTTCGTGTAAACAAAACTGTATACAGCTATAGTTTGTGTAAAAAAAAAAACAATTGTATTTTTAATGACATAACGCTCAAATTCTAATTTTAAATCGTGTGCCAAAGGAATTTTATACACAAATATTGCTATAAGTAAACATTAAGTTGTATAGATTAAAAAGCGCGGGAAAATTTATTCTCGTCAAATTATATGTGCAATAGTTCTATATCGTGTACGGGGTGCAATGGTGGAATAGTGCAATTTTACACGTCACGTGTAGAAAAACTGTGAATAAATCCGCGACACTGGGAAAAACACGAGGGTCGGCCTGCCTACTACTCTACTATAGCGATCGATAATATTACGCATTACAGGGTGACTGTGAGAAGAGACGAGACGCACACAGCCGCACTGTCACGCACACACTCCCGCCCCCTACCGCCCATCCCAACCTCGCCCTCGTAACGAAAGTAAACATTCTATGGAGCTTTAAAAACTTAAACCGAATTTATAGTATAGGAAACTTAAAGTACAAAAATCACTGTGATTTTATTTTTGTGTTCAGTACAGTACGAAAGTCTGTTAGAGCTGTGATAATTATGCTTGTTGGCACAAATTTGTGTAATATGAACTCTGGGATGTTTTTCGGGTACAATATGCAAAACCAGCTGGTGAACATTGGTGTTGGGCAGAGACAGGGCTCTTCGCAGGGCGGGAGCGTGGCGGGGACGGCACCCGCGACACCAGTTCACGGTCAAACTGAAGGAAAGCGGTCCCCGCAGACCCCTTCGGAGCGCACGGGGGCGCCCCCTGGCGCGGGGAAAGACGCCGTCAAACTATTCATTGGGCAGATACCGAGACACCTCGAGGAAGATGACCTACGTCCGATGTTCGAAGAGTTCGGCAAGATTTATGAGCTGACCGTACTTAAGGATAAGCACACTGGGATGCATAAAGGTTGGTTGTGATTTACGAGTACGTTGATAATTACAGGTTTATTTGACCTTTGTGGTCCAATTTATGTTCATTGCTTTGGTTAATAAATAACAAAGCAAATGAATATACATTTGGTTTGTTATTTCTTCTTGATATTTATGATTACGCAGATACGAGTAGTTTTTTTACACAAAGTAAACATTATACAACTTTTGTTTTGCATATGAAAGAAAGTTTTATCTAATTTTCTTGTATAGGTCATTTGAGAAACTATTAAAAAACACAAGTTGTATTTATGCATTAAAATATGAGAAGCAAACATTTTGTTGTCTACTACAAAAATACTTAATTTTTGCACGAATGAGTATAAAATTAACTGTTAAAGTTTATATGGACAAGAAGTGCAGAAACCTTATATTTGATTTATAATTATATATAAATAAAAAAATATAAAGAATATGTAATACATACTTTACATATTAAGTCTTTAAAAAATATTTTTTTATAGACGTCGTGGCCTATAATACGGTGTTTACAAGTCTGGCTGACACAGAAAATAAAATACATTTAACTAACACTCCGGTGAAGGAAACACCGATTACAAAAAAAAATTCACGTACGATCTAAAATATAATACGTCTACAATTGACGATGCTACTGACTACACCATCCAGGTTAATAGTCATGGAGGTAAGTTTAGTAGAATCCTAATAATGTTCAAACTAAAAAAATACTAATATTGTTCGAAACTGAACTACATGGCGATCAGTAAATAAATTAGAAAAAATGTGTAACAGAATCGTGTAAACATCTAATGTCTGTATATCACATATTGTAACAAACATGTCGTACTGATCAATTACGGATGGCTACTCCTATAATAATAGGTCAATACGCTCGAGTAGGATGAAACAAAATAATAAAATAATAGTGTACACTGTGTGTGTGTGTATGTGGATGTTTACCAATATATATATATTAAATAATGATCATAAAAAAAAATTAAAACAGTATTTAGTGATTTATTTACTCTTTATAGCACGGCTACTATGGTCTTTTCTAACACAAGTCAGACTTCCGATGGTCGCGGGTTTTTCCTCACACGGTGCATTATATATATATAATATATATAATGAATACGATTGTTTGTATCGGTTTAATAAGGTTTTTTAATTATGTATAATATGTATATATGTATGTATTTATATCAGTTGTCTAGTATTCTTTTAAGTATATTTTAGCTTGCTTAACTTGGACTACTAGATGGCGACCACTGTGTGAATTTATAATAATAAGATTATTATTATTTCACCAGAAGTAAATTATAAAGAATGTAATGAGATTTTTTTTAAATTCGTGTTTTTGTAAGTACGAAATAAATAAAAATTATTAAATTTATTTACATTAGATTTTTGTATATTATGTATATACTAGCTACTTGCCCCGATTTCGCCCGGATGCCCATGTATTATATATATATATATATATATACCTAGAAACACTATATCTACTAAAAGATTTAAGCATGCATAGGGACGGACAGACAGCGACCGCGACTTTGTTTTATACTATGTAATGATTTATTTATCTATTATACAATATTGTTGTTTATATAACATAATCTGCATAGCTTTGGGCTCTCTGTGAGTTATGCTTAGATATTTATATTATTTTTAAAATGGCATAGTTAATATTAATATGCAATTTACACATGCATAATGCTATTCATTGTACATGTTTTTACATCCTTATTACGCTAACGTAACAGTTGAAAATTATAAACAAATCTCTCACGTCACGGCCGCCCTGTACCGATGCACGCCACAAAATGTATTATGTTTTTTTGCAATTTACGCCGTAACTTAATCTTTTTATAACGTGACCGTTGCATATTTACTGCTGCTTTGATTGTGGTAGGAGGGCGCTTGATTAGAATATATTATTTGTATGTTGCGATTATTTTTAACGTAGAATTATTTTTTTTTTTGTTAACTGTAGTCATTTAAAAAAAAACTTTGATTTAAGATCTTTATCTATACATACATATAAATAAAATTTGAATGTCTGTTTGTAATATTGAAATAACCGGTTTTTACTACATGCATATGAATATAAATACGGTACATACACCAAAATATCATTTTTTACAATTTTTGTCTGCCTGTCTGTCTGTTTGTTCCGGCTAATCTCTGAAATGGCTGGACCGATTTTGACGGGACATTTTTTGGCAGGTAGCTGATGTAATAAGGAGTAATTTAGGCTCCTTTTATTTTAGAAAAATAAAGATAAATTCCACGCGGACGAAGTCGCGGGAACAGCTAGTCATATAAAAGACAAGGACTGATACAAACAATCATCTCATGAAGGCAATTGTTTGTACCGTGCGAGGAATCGCACCCGCGACCATCGGAAGTAAAGCGGTGTGCTAATTCGCTCGACCACCGACGCCAATAAAATGTGACAAATATTTTTTTACAATTTTTATTTCAATTGTCTTTAAGTATAATTTACAATAATATATTTTTTCTTGATTGACTTTAAGTACAGTTGGGTATCGCTGGCTCACCTCTTTGTATTGGGATACAATTTGCTAAGTTTCGGTTTCAAAGGTGAGGTAAAGTAGCGAAATTATTGGGTACAGAGTCGTATATTACTTTTGATAATGGCAATAAAATATAATAATAATACGAGTATGACGTAACACGGGCATGACGTAATGATCATACATATTCCCACAGGATCATACATATTTAATCAGGGTTTCTACTTCTTTTTTCGTTTCTTATTTCAGATCATCTTAGAATATAGGTTGTATACCAAAGATGGTTATTTTATTTTAAGAAAGCATACAGCAGTTAGCAATAGTTAACAAATAGTTTAAAATATCTATTTTATGAGGGAGATGAACTTCTTAGCTTTCTTATTTTGGATTCAACGTGTGGAGGCCGAGTCCATCGTGTGGCTGAGAAGGAAACTAGAAGTAGTTCCAGATATTTGTGACACAGTGCAGGTTTAAGGGGAGGCTAGATGCTGACAGCCTTCACTGCTGGTGCTTTTCATCACGCCCAGCAATATCTGGCAGGAACTTACCAGTGGAGCTTTAGATTCACGTTCTAGTATAGAACATACCGCAGCTCTGGGCTGCCGAATCTTACAGAAGATTTTAAAAGATTGGGCAGCCTCGCTCCCTCTTTGATAAGATATAAATTAAGCAAATAATCAAATTATTAGTTCGTAATATCTATTGGTTTTTATTGTATGATGGTACAGTGAGCACTACCAGTACTATATGAAATAATAAGAAATGTATTTCGTAAATAACCATAATAATATGATATATACCTCTCTGTTTGTTTAATCTTGAAATAAAAGTAAGGTATGCCACGACCAATGGATAGTAATATATAAAAAGATGACTATTACTCCGCTTCGGACCGTCAAGCCCTATCATAACTTCCGAACCGTTTGGCGTAGACACATAAAATTTATTTCTTGCAAAGCAACACAAGGGTTGGAGAAAAAATATTTTTGGACATTCTCTCATATCGCTTTATACGTACATGGCTGTATATCTTCCGTGTCTCTGGACTAAGATATCTTACGATGTCCTGTTATGATTATGTTACTTTTTCAGGAAAATAAGTGCTACATAATAAAATGAAATATTCATTACAAAGTAATTGATAATTTTAATTTTTATGTTTACTGTTAATTTATAATTTTGTGATTGATGAGCTAAATGTTTTACATGAAAATAAATAAATCTGCAATCTGAAAATACAAACTCAAATGATATAGAAATGCAAATTTTCAAGTAAATTAGAAGACAGTTTGTGGTTAGAAATGGGTGAAACAGAGCCACGCAAATGTCTTTAATAATAATCATAATATCTTAGGAATATTCACACAGCGCTATCTAGTCCCAAGATAAGCAGAGTTTGTGTTATGAGTACTAGACAATTGACATAATAGATTTCCTTTTGTAAATACATTTATATTATATATAGAAAACATACAATCGTACTCATGAATACAAATGTTTGATACCGGCGAATCTAACCCACGACTATCGAACGTAAGATGGTGTGTTAAACTGCTATACCACGGCCGTAAAGTATGTGGTAAAAACAATCAAATATGAAACAAATACCAACTAAATAGTGATACAAATAACATAGCATTCAGAACTGGCAACTGTATTTTATGAAATCTTACGACGTGAATAAACTTCATTACCTACAAAGTATGTCCATCGCCATAACAAATAAATTGACACTTTGTGACGTCATTATATATTGTTTTATTTATTTATAGACTATATACTGATACTGAATTTATTGTTGTTTTGTTTATAGCTATTTCATTGCCTCTTTCCTCAGCTGGTCCTAAGATATAGGCCTTCTCCAATAGACTCCGTCTTACTCTGTCTAACTCTTTCCTTCTGCATGTTGTTCCAGCCACTCCCTTATATCATCTTATCCCTTTTTCTGTCCTTCTTTTATATATTACTTACTCCTATTTATATACTCAAACATAATAAACAAGGAGTAGTAAAGAGTTTGCATTACGCCGTGTTTTATTTATCTCACCACACGCGACCGTGTTTTGACGGGAGTGAAAAATTTGTCGCGTAAAATTCTCGTTTTTCTTTCACTCGGGCTGTTTGTTGCAGGGCACTTTTGAGTGTGTTTTCTACCTTATAATTTACTAAAGTTTTCCTTTTTAATACAGTTGCAGCTGGTGTGGTCTGTTTCTTATTTTTTGTTAACGTGTAACAGTAGTTTAGTTTTTGTAGTCTCTGTTAATTTATGACGGAGATTGTTAAAAAAATTGGCCTTTTAACACGTGTTCTTTTAATAACATAACTCTTTTATTTGTAGTGTTAATTATATTATACTAGATTTGTGTATTGATTTTAATATAAATTTGACACATAATGTTGACTTGAACGTGAATGGATGACAAGTGAGTGAACCAAACAAAAGATGGATGGATTGTGTGAAAGATGATATGTGTAAAAGGAGAGTAAGTT